TGGCCCCATTCTTCAAGATCCGCCTATCTTCCTACTTTCACCATTCAGATTTACAAAATAAATGTTAGACCAACCAAAAAGATTTCCAAAATAAATGCTATTAGTTCTATATATACCCTCGCTCAATAACCTCACTTTTATTTATATACAGAATAAAAACTATAAGTTAAACATTCTTTCTTTATATAGTATTTACAATTTCCTCTCATTAATCTAACTTCAGAGAATGTTCTTATCATGTCATATTATCCTATTATATCTAGGAGCTTTCAGAATAATATTTTGTGGATGGATTAATTATTATTATTCTTTTCTTTTGAATAATTTGTTAAAAAGGGAAGTTCATAGTGTAAAATTTGATTTTAAAAACTTGTCCCGATTAATTTGAAAATTTGAAAGTTATTACATTTGAATCTTGATGAGCGGAGTTAATGTTTCCATATATATATATGGTGGATATGATTGTTTTAGACAAGTGTCACATCTATGATATAAGTTATGTGTAATAAGTGAAAATATAAATCTTTACATTTATAAAATGGAAAAAAAGAAATACTAACTGTATTTGAGATTATGGATGTTGTAACCGTCACATTTATATTCTTGTTAATTATAGATGATATATTTATTATTCACCATGTGTTGTAGTGATATTAAACTTATTAACCCGTTCTAATTTGAATGGTAGATTCTTCTTTGGTGGTATAGCTCACCATATTTACATTCAGGATATTAATATTCAGGATATATCAATTAAAAAATACTTATGTGTGGATATTTCTTTTAAGTATAAATCCGAAATTTGGTTTGAAAGGATTTGTGAGTTAGAATATAGGACTTCTTATGGTTTTAGCGAGGTTTGCGGGAAAACGGTAGCCATAAAATAGTTTTTTTTTTAACATCTTTTGTGTAATTTTTGTATAAGATTGGGACAAATCTATTGTCCATACTAATTCATATTTATTACTGTTGATAAACAAATTAAAAAAATAGATTAACTCTAGTAATTATGTGATCACATAAATAAAGTCATAAAATAGTGAAAAGTAAAAAAAATATTTACGCATTTGATTAAAACTAGGTACATAAAGTATTCTAGTTGGACGAATAGTTTAAATCCCTTTAAAGGAATATGTTTAATACAAATGTATTTTTCGAAAGATGTCTTGTAATGGTTAGCTTGATATATATTTAAAATGTTATTATGAATTTTAACACTTAATAATATTTGTTTTAGCTGAGACTACTTATTAGCGATGTTGAAGGATATATAATGCAATCTATGAATTGTGTACGAATTGCATGATGTATGATAATATATATAGAGAGATAAAAATAATGTATATTGTTTAAGTAAATAATAATATATAGTAATAGTACCAATTATATTATATTGACAAAAATTATTATTATTAATTACCTTTAGTTTTTCATTATGTTGTTTTTTTAATTCAATTTTTTATTATTACTAAAATTATTCTCATTAAATGCTTTGAAATGTATATTCTTTATATTACTTACAATTTTAACTTTGTAACAAGTATGTAAAGTTTGAAATGTTTCATTTTTAATCTTATGATCACGGTCCGGTTCTAAAAATTTAATGAAAGGTCACGAAAAAAAATAAAAACAAAATGCTAAACAAATTACATGAGTCAAACTTAAAAGAATTTGCTTAGAATAAAAGCAAAAGAGAAAATCAATATCTTTATATAAAATAACTTACATCTAAGGAAAAAAATGAAAAACAAAACTTATAACATATTTTATAATGCTAAAATTTAGAGAAATAATATAAATATATATATATATATACATATATATATATATACATATATATATATATACATATATATATATACATATATATATATATACATATACATATATATATATACATATATATATATGTATATATATATATATATATATTAACATTCCAATTAATCTATCTCAAAAATATAAAAATATGATATTAATATAGTTATACAAAAATATAATTTTAATTATAAAACATATTTAAAACAATAAGGAAAAACTACTAAACAACAAAAAATAACACTATGTAACATTATCGTCCTCCAATAGAGATGTTTCCAACACGTATATCTGAAAAGAAAAAACCAAAAACACAAAAAAACACCAAAAGAAACAACATGGTAAGTTAATGTGCAAAAAAAAAAATCATAAAACAAAGACAAAGATATTATCATACATCACTCATTCATAAATATACATATATCACATATAGAGACTCATATTATACTTAATTACCCTAATACATGTTTTTGACATTGAATTTTCCTCTAGGCATGCATTTGTATGGTTTTTATATTTTGCAGAGTTACAAAAAAGATATTATTACCATAATATTTATAATGTTAGTCTCATTCCCACGTAAGATCAAATGGTCTCGTAGTTAGAATTTTCTATCTCTCTCTATATCATTCATCTTTATATAAATTGAATGTTAGTAGCCTATTATGATATCTCATTTTTAACTTTTTAAATGTCAACACATAGATTAATATTCTCTCAACATTATCACTATATATGTGTAAATCATAATCATCTCTTCGATTAATAATAAACATTATTATAAATATACGTCTATTTCATCAAGAATCTATTTCAAACAAAGAAAAAAAAACCACACCAAACATAATCTTATTACAAATAGACAAATACAATGCATTTTTTTTAAATTGTGTATTTATAGTAATGAATAGTGTTAAACCAGTAAAGCAGATTGGACTGAAAAAATTGAATCATATCTTGTTATAATCAATCACTAAATAGCGGTTATTTTGTTTTTAAAATAAAAATCACATTTTTAAAAGTAAAAATGACATTTTGAAAAAAATTGAAAAAATTAAAAACGATTTCATTTCATTAAAATATATAAATGTGATATAATTTCCCATTACCGTAATTTTTTTTTAAAATATTACGTAAATGTTTGTTTGTAAATTATATTTCGCATTTCGGAAAGTTGTCAAAATCACTTATTAATCTTACACAACTCGAACTAAATAATTTTTTTTATTAATAATATAAATCAAATCCATCTATCACATTTCATATTATCTAACTCATCAAGTTACCCAGCTCTCCATTTTTTATATAAATCAGTCACTACTGAGAAAACTTTAATACACATCTTACTTATATGTATAGAATAAATATGTATATACTATACCTATTTTATAAATATATAGAGAGATGAAATGTGATAAATTAATATATTGTCATTGATTGTGTAACTTTATTTATCACGAGTTTTCCTGACATGTTAGATTGAGATCCATGCGTAAACAAAAACTGCATCAGTCAAATATAATTTTTGTGAAAGATTAAAACTCATTTTTCATTATCAGCTTTCACCGTGATTTGATTCTCAATTTAAAGAACTCTATAAAAACTATAAGAACTAACCATTCTTTAATTTTCGAAAGGACCTTGGCAACGAATGAATATTTATTTTATACTCTGAAATGGTAGGAACCAAGCATCTCACTGTTTTGCTTTACAATGAAAAAACTGAGAAAATATTTATTTATTTATTGTTATACATATATGCATATCCCTGTGAGATGGGATTCTACTAAAGCGAGATAGAATTATAAATAAATAGAAAAGAAATGGACATAGAAAGTTTAATAATTTGAAGAAGGATGAATAAAAAAAAAAGAAAAAGAAAGAGGGGTTCCTTGTTGTTTGAAAAGAGTTAGGTGGAAAGCAGAGAAGATATTGTGGCGTGCACACGCGTCCTGCAGTGCCGAAAATTTTGCTGATGGGAAGGGTCCCATTTACAGCCTGGGATGTCAAATTCAAATTGACCAACTTCCCTTACCAATGCACAAGACCTCCCTATATGCCCCACGCTCCCCTTACCCTATCTCTTCTCATTTACTCTACTCTCTGCCCTACCACCCAACAATTTTTCACAGCCCCCTACTACTATACTTATTTTTTTTCTAGCCCCTCAACTTCTTAATATTCTTCTTCTCTTAACAATTACCATTCCACCAGACACCTCATTATTGTATAGCATTCACTACTAAAAAAAACATGACAAAAAGGCCATTTTCTAAGATTGCATTTATGGCATAACATTAACAGTGAAGACGAAAGATTAAAAAAAAGAGGGATGAGAAAGAAATAGTGAGGTCAACTATAACGAATATGTTTGTCTTTACCTTCCCGTCCCGTGGGTGTGTATTGGGGTATTTAATTATTATGAGGAGGATAAACGAAGTCCAAAGTCCAAAGGTCTCGTTATTCTCAACACCACCTTTTTCCTTCCTTCTTTGTTCCCCTACCTACAATCCTACCTCTACCACTATACCCCTTAGACTAACAGGCCATTGTCCTACTACTATTACTACGACGTGATGTGAGTGAATGTATAATAATGATTTGATGTGAGTATTTCCCATTCGTCAAATCGCTTTTTTCTTTCACTCCATCACCCTTCCACTATCTCTTTTCCCCAAAAATCTTCTCTTTTACTCACTATTACGTGGCATCAGCCCCTCATGCCCACGTCACCCTCCCATCGCATTCCATTTTACTCTAATATCCCTCACGCCTCAAGATCTACCATTGGGCCCACTTGTCGGAGACGTGGCTCATCCCTGCTGGCCCGTTAGGCCCAAGCACGCCACTTCTATTTTTCCCATATTTCTATGTCTTTTCAAGCCCAATGCCTCCACATTATAACTCGCAAGCAGCATTTTGAGCGGCACAACCGAATTATTTCGGTCTCCTCAGTTACTCTGACCCATTCAGTACTTTCCGATGCAGGAATCATAAAACACTCTGTTTAATTCTTCCGCTATTCATCCAAACCACTCACCACAATCACGCAATTATTATTACTAAACACCATCGTTCAATAATGCATTCTGACTTTAAAATTATGCAACAATCATAAATTCAAAATTTATGATCGACATATATAAATATATAAAACAAGAGCTTGATAGATATAAGAAAAAGACCACAAAGTTGTTAACCTCTTTCTCCCTCACAAAAGATACCCAAGAAAAGGACACATTTATATATTATATTGCGCCTGTAATTAATTATAATAATATAAGAATATTTGAATTAAATATTTTTTATGCCGGGAAAGAAGTTCCATCCGGTCTATCTACTGCTGCGGTGCATCTGGAGCAGAGGATCGAAGCCGTTTATTTGGTGGCTCGGCTTCTCGCCGTTGTTCCTCTGTCGAGTTTAAGAAAATTCTCTCCGAAGGTGTGTCGCAGCTGGCACAGGTGGCGGCGTCCAGCACGCCGACGGGACTGGATGGCGGCGGCTCGGCTACTCTCTCTTTGATGGTGGAGCTGGATGCGTAACACGTGTCCACCACGTACTCCTCCATTAGTTGGTGACAGCATCTCACCATTTCCTGTCCCCGAAGAACAAAGATTCATTGTGTAAATAATAATAATAAACAAACAAACAACCCCCAAACAGCAAAAACAACTTATCATCACCAAACACTGTAACACGGACACACCTTTCCACGCTCCTTTAATCTTCCAATTATTCTAATTCTAATAGTAATAATAGTTAAAACCATTTAATTTACTTGGACTTCACTTCACTTATCATCCACTTTTATATTTATATTTTAAAAGGAATAAAAATAAAATTTAATGCAACGTTACCTCGTTTACTCTATTGTGAAAACTCGGCGGCAATGGGCCATTGGTGGAAGCAATGTCACGGCCAGCCGAGCAGAGCACGGCGGCGGCTGCCACTGTGGAGGGCGCGAATCCCAAGAAGTTAATCACTGCACGACAGAAACAACGTGAGAATAACGCATTTCTGAAAACGGGAGTGGTTTGGACTACCAGAAAGTTACCACGGGTGGTGCTGAGGATGAGATTGGAGGCGGTGGAGAAACAGTGCGTTGTGGATTCGGAGGAAGAAGAGGAAGGGAGCTTGGTGATGAAATGGTTAAGATAATCGTAGGGCGTGACGGAGCGAAGTCTCCATTTGAGATTGGACATGACCCAAAGCTCCATTCTTTGAATCGTTTTGGGAGCAAACACGAATTTGGGTTCGAACAGTTGCAGGTCCAGTAAGAACGGGACGTGAGACTCTTCCATTTTTGCTGCCAGAGACAGGCATGCCACTGATAGTAGCTGGAACGGCCACCCACTCGATTGCTGCCACAAAAATGAAAGTAAATTAAAATAAAAAATTATAAAATAATAAACAACAACAATGTCTGACTTTACGCCTAAAAAGCTTGACAATTTCGGGAGAAAAGGTTAAAGAAGAAAAGTGCATTACGGGAAGAGAACACAGAGAGAGGAAACGGTCCAAATAGTTGACGGAGAGAAACGCCGTCACCGGAGAAAACTTGTAGAATGCGTGAACCTGCATTGCCAGAAACAAATCACTCGTTCATGCATCTAAACCAGAGTGCTTCGGCCTGCGTGTGTGCGTGCTCGCTCGACCGAGTGCATGGCGTACGTACCTTTAAGATCCAGTTGACGGCGTCGAGGCGCGCGGTGACGTCGATGGAGCGGTCGCGGCAGCGGCGGAGGTAGTCTTTCTCCGGTATGTGGTGGACCTCGGCGTCGAGGAGGCCGGCGATGGGCGAGTCATCGGAATCCGGAAAGGGAGGGGTCGGCGGGGGATGGTGGTCGGAGGTAAAGTCGCTGGCGTGTTCGCGGCAGAGGAAGTTAGCAGCGGCGGAGGGAGAGTCCGGCGAGTGAGACATTGCGGCGTTGGGTGAGGAGGCAATGGTGTTGGGTCATGGCTGGGATTTTATGGATTTGTGTTTGACATGTTGAAGTGGTTGGGTTTCTCTTTCTTTGTGTCCGAAGTTTTCTTTTTTGTCTGTTTGTTTGGTTGCTCCTCTCTCTCTTTTTGGTCTGTGCGTGTGAAGTTGCAGAGAGAGTGCGAAACAGTTTCTTATTTGTTTGTGGTTTAATTTTTTTTGTATTGCAGAAACGAGGAGTTGTCAAGCATAGACATGACAGAGGAGAGAGAGTGTTAATGGGTTAATGGCAGTGACATATGCGGTGGGGGTGGTGATTTATCTGTCGCCACTCACTGTTTATTCATCCCCAGCATTACTTTTTCACAACTCTTTTTATTATCATAATACAAAATCTTTCTTTTATCTTTTAACCTCTATTTATCATTATTATTTGTAATTTATTATACAACAACATACACTGATTAAGAAGGTTATTTCACCTCCTTTACACCACATTTTTACAAACATTGCTACACATGACGAATAATCCGTGTTTTCCTATTCAGTGATGTAATGTGTGACCATGCATACATTTCATCCAACACCACGTTTAAAAATAATTTCCTTAGATAAAAAGTACATTATCTTTCATGTTCTTTGTAAAATCACTTGACATTTATATTTAAATGTGATTGACGTTGCGTGAATAGTTTTAGGAGTGTCTGTTTGCCTCACCACCATTTTTGACACTCTTGCAGTTTTCCTTATTGATAGAATGCATGGAGAAACGGAATGGGTAGAAAGATGATTTAAACATTGGAATGCTAAACCAAACAAGTGATGAGGTTCACAATAATTACTTAAATTTTCGTTTGTTACGCCACATGATGGGCTGATAGACCGAGGAGACGAGAGCGTAAAAATAATCTAACCAGAGGGGGGAGATCAGATAAATTCTACAATGCAAATTTTAACTTTCATTTACATATCAACAGCAACCCAAATAACGTTTTTTTAACCGATAAAACACTCCTATTATATCATATTTTAGTACTTATTTTGATTATTTATGTTATTGTTATATAGGAATCATAATGCGGGTTCATCATCTCGTGTCTCACGTCACATATGCGGGTTAATTTGTCTTGCATATCAATTGGTAAGTGAATTTGCACGCTGATTTGCGACTCTTAGATGTAATTTTCTTCCTTTGTAAAATATTAGTAATAACTTTTTTTATTCAACTCGATTGGTATAAATAATAAATTCTATAATTTTAAGTTTTAAAATAAGTAGTATTTGTAATTTTATAATTTTTATTTTTAAAAGTATAATCTTTTGAAAATAAAAGTAGTTTGGAACTGGACCAAAAACTCAATGCGAATGAATATGATAATTATTTTTGGATGGATGGAAAGATAATATGAATCAGCAAATTGATAAAAAAACACATATAATGTGTTGGGTTTGCGTTAGTAGATTTTAAGAATTGTGCTTCAACTTGTTATTGGTCTATACTGACTGCAAGTTGTGCATGATTAGTCTAAATAAGTCATCAGACTAAAATATTCTTAATTTGCGTCACACTTTTTCATGTGCACCTGCATACCGAGAATTTTACATTGTCATCATTTATAGTGTTATATATGTACAATAATATATTATCTCATTTATTATTTATCCAGTTGAATAAATGATGAAAATTTCCACAAATAGATCTTTTTGAAATTAAACATTTTATTATACATAACTAGATAATGGTCTTATTGCAATTAAACTTTCTAAAGAATTAAAAGAAAGTAATAAAAGGTTATCATCTTCAAATCTAAGATTGGGACATTCTTTGGACAAAGTATCGGATTACCAACAATCTATCATTGGATTGTTATACTACTGTTGGACCCTTTATTTTTATAAGATGAGGTTCACCAATGAAATGAGACACAATACTAATGAGATATGAGCAAAATCATATAAAGGATTGACATCAGTCTGTACCCAAAACCTTAAGACAATAAATTAATAGGTCTTTTATTTTTATACAATGATATACTTTTTCATTTTTATCTAATGTGGAACTTAGATTCACACTTTGATTCCTAAAGTTTTAAACATTATTTAACACGTGTGTGATGAATGAGTTTGTTTTAGATTCAAGTGAATTGTGATAATAATGTTTAAGTCGAGGAGTGAAAATATAACTTTTAATGGTGCTTAAAGTAGTTCTTTGAGTTTTACATGTGGACTACAGAGAAAGAGGAGTGAACTTAGCAAACTTATGGATGCAACTAGAGATTTGAAACTGAATTTCTATTTCAATAAAAACAACTTTTTTTATTCACTTTTCATTTCTCGTCCTCTTCGAGATTGAGAGAAAAAGAAAATCTAAATTTTCCTTCCCTTTCTGCTGATAAAAGAAAAAGATTAACGTCCATCTTGAAAGTTTTACTTTGGGTAAGCTTCTCTTCTTCTTTCTTTTCTCCTCTAATTTTCATTTTTATTCTCTGTAAACTCATGTATCACATAGAATTTGGGAAAAAGAAGGGGTTTTCAGATAGAACTCCATTTCAGGATGTTTAACGATTAAGATTTCAAACTTTGAAGTGACTAAGGAGTTCGTAGAACGTTATTCAGTCCTCCTTTTCAATTTCTAGTTCCTTAGAATATAAGAGAGCCAATGTAAAGGGAGTTAGCATTATTTTTGTTTGTATGCTATTATTTTAATCAAATTGGTATGAATTTGTTGAGTTATAGGACATGTGATGCTTAGGTTGCTGGTAAACTAAAATTATAATTGAATCATGAAGTTGCTTTTGTAACATTTAATGTATTTGATATATTTTTTTCAATGCTTGGTTTGATCATGCAACAGTGTAAGTGTATGGCAATTGAAGAATAAAAAGAAAAAAAGTTGATTTTTTTCGTCTGTACAATCTGTATGAATATTTCTACCTCAACTCTACTGACATAGTTATCACATTTGTTTCTTCAAACAATATACTTAAGTATTTTTTTCAAACAAACCTCTTATAACCCACCATACTTCAAGATTTGATAGAAATATAGACTATTAATCCATTTGATATAAACAATTATGAAGTCTGGCTTAATCTATTATCTTAAAAATTGTTTACAGTGAAGGAGTTAAATAATTTTTTTGCTCGATCTCAATAGCTTCGTTGGATGGATAGTTTGATTATATGTTTGTGAAGACTTATTATCTTCTATATACATGTATATAGGAAAGAAATAATTATTGAAGAAATGTTTGAGGTTCCTTGTAAAATCTAGTATTTAAATTGAGCGGAACCAATAAAAAATATCACGGAAAAGAACATAAAAAATAGGACAAAGAAACTAATTAAAAATAAATATAAATTCTAAATAAAATAATAATGTCATTATTTTTGAGATATTATATATAATATAGAAGTTGTCAATGTATGATGTTACTTATGATTATGTTTATGTATAACATCAAATCAAGCCTTATGTTAAAGTCAAAGGGAATCACTCAATTTGCATGACACGTGAGCATTCATGTTTTTTACATAGTCGTTTACGAAATTGCATCAGGTGTTGCTTACACCGAAAAATGAGCTCACTTAAATCAAACTAAGTGTTGAAAAATATATACTATCAAATATGTTGTTCAAAGCGAAATCAAAAACTTCAGACAACCTTTGCCTTTGTTAGCGAGCGTGAGTTGAACAATGTCGTGTAATAAATATGTGTATTGATAATTTAAATGAAAACAATATTAAATAATAAGTTGAGTATGTTTTGTTGAGTTTTTCCTTCTTTACCTGAAAAGAAAAAACAACCTTTTGAGGAAGAGAATTTATTTTGAGCTAGAAATATCTATATTTCTACACCGAACTAATTTTTTCATTAACTATGTATCAAACTTTTTTCACACCAACAATTGCTTGACACAAAATTATTGTTGTTTTTCATGTGACCATATGACAACACGGAAGCTGATTACCGTAGGACAAGGGCTGCCATATGGACCCACTCAGTCTTAGCCATGCCTAGGTGAGCCTATAAGAAAGCCATAAATTCCATGTTCAATTCCACAACACAGATTTCAAAAATTCAATTTGCACGTTCCCATTTAGTCCTTTGATTTCATACATCATTATCGTTTTCATGTGTTTTCCACTTTGAGTTTGGACTCAATTTCAAGCTTCAATCCCAAAAGCCACTTACATTCACACCCTCACAGCCCAAGCAGGGGTGCCTGGTAAAACATAAGGCCCGGTTAAAATATCTCAGCAGAGTCAAATAAGTAGACTAAGGTTCTGTAAACATTCCTAATGCAGAGAATATACCGCTTCAAGTACATAGACTTGTAAGACAAAAACATGCATGCAAGTTAGTATTGCCATAAACCGCAACTCTTTTGTTCTAAATCTTTCTTATTCAAACTACTTCAGTTTGAGATACGATGATATGTTGTACTATATTTATACGTAGAAAGATTGTCCTGAGAAATATAGATTTCCTCTTGTTCATTTTGAGGTGGAAGTGCACTCAAATTGAGGGGAAAATTTTGTTCAGGTTCAAAGGAAGTGAATAGAACTCTTCACTTCTAGTATCCTGGTTGAAGCTCCTGAATTTTTCCCACCAGTGTCTCCCACTGTCTCGCCGAGCTGAGGCGTCTCCACGACGCAGAAATAAATCCAAGAAGTAAGCAACTATTATTGCCACAGTTGCTGGGGATGAGAGAAGCACTTGCACTGTGGTGTTGAACTGCAAAAGGAGAGTTACACTTTACCATAAGAACCAAAGGTAGCTATAATTAAATAAAAATTAACACAATCAAGGTACTATCTACAAACCCCAGTGGAGCCTGTATGGAGACGACCATGTTTGGGTAGCAACAGATACTCATTGAAATACTGTGGAACGGATAAACCGATGCAGAGAGAAAGTCCAAGGATGAACATTGATCTATAACTGTTAAGATTGCAGAATTGAAGAAAACCAAGGCCAGCGGATGCTGCTCGTCATCGAAGAAACATCACAATCAAATATAGAAGTAACTCAGGGAAAAAAAAGCATAAAACTAGTATGATCCAATGGAAATACATTTTACGTAAGTTTCATGGCAGTCAGTAGTCAGACACTTATTTGCTTTTATTTAACTTGTAGTTCTCCTAAAGTGCAAATACACACACATTAAGATTGTAGAATTAGTTTCCCTAATTGACTTTGCATTCTCTTCCATGTATCATCCGACCATATAACACAAATCACACACGTACCTACGAAGGCAAAGAGAATGCAGTAAATAGCTGCTACAATAGG